CACACACACACACATATATATATATATATATATATATATATAAACTAAATTAGTTGTTGTTGACAAAAAATACTAGTAAAATCAGACATCAAAATATTATATAAATTACAATTATTATTTACATTTATAGATTAGAAAAGATAAATACCTGTTTATACTTGGCATACAATATTGTGTTGACAAAGAGTATACTGTTTGAAAGGAAACAATAAGGCCTGGTCTGCTTGCAGATAATTGCAGTAAATAAACTAATAATATTACAGAATTGTAAATTGTACTTAATCTTTACGCCATGCTTTTCAAAATTAGCAGAACATTAAAAAGTTTGTAAGTGAACAAAAGCAACTCAAACCGGGCTTTCCACTTGTTTTTAGAGTAAAAGTCACAAAATAATCACTATTAATGCGGTCTTCCAAAGCCAAAGTATTTGCATAACAGACATTATGGTATGATTTTTATTGTAGGCCTATTTAGATCATCGTAACTTAATAACTGCAATAGAGAGATGATATATTCTACACAGACATCAATTAAATTAGGCATCATGAGTGAGTCAAGAAAGCCAAACACTTTACATAAGCCTGCAGTACATTATGATAGATAGCTCTGGCTTTATTAAAATATTGACTTTCTGATGCGCATGCCTACCTCTCCTAATGGCTGAGAGTGCACGTATGCATCCCTGGCTGTGGTCAGTATGGACGGCTGGCGTCCTTCGGCCGTTTCAGCTGCACTTTCAAGCGTTTCATGCCGATCTGGAAGCCGTTCATGGCCTGGATGGCAGCCTGAGCACTGGCGGGGTTATCGAAGCTCACAAAGCCTGCAGACGAGAGAGAAACCGAATCTGCTGTTCATGTGTGCGTATCTTACAGTCCCTGCAGTATAACGGCCACACACATCCAAATTTACTCATTTTTAATTCATGTGGAAGGAAATGGACAACAAATCCTCAAGGAAACAAATAGACTGAGAGGACTGAATCAAATTAAACTAATGGGAGCCAGAGGGAGAGATTTCTGCGCAGGGATCGTGTTCCAGAGAGCTGCCTGTGTAGTGTGAAGAGAATGAATATAAATATAAGTGATTCCAGACAGGCAAGGCTTTTGGGGTCAGGGAGGAGACCAATAAACCTTTATTAAACTCACTACAGTCTCACACACACACACACACACACACAAACATCTGGGCTGTGGCACATCACGGCCTGCATGGCACCCTGGGTCCAAAATTAACATTTGGCAAACACTGAATGCATGTTAAAATTGTCTTTGGCATGCAAATAAAATGGGTCAATTGCCAATTGGCTGGTAACATGTCAGGAACTGAAAACTAATGCATGCTTTAAGTGACAATGTTAGAATGATATATGTTTATACGGGAAGCTTGTATTTGTTATGTTTTAATAATCAGAACTCTGTGTGCCAACAAAACAATAATATAGGGAACGTCTCGGTTACGTACGTAACCCTCGTGCCCTGATGGATGTAACGGAGACGTTATGTCGTGACGACATAGGGGGTTCACCTGGGAGCCCCAATCCTCTCTGACTATAAGAGAAAACCCCAATTAAATTTGGCTAGTGGATTTTGCATACCTGAGCTACTCCCTGTGCATACGGGTATAAATAGGCGACAGGTGCATCCACTCTTCAGGTTTTGTGCTGAGGAGCCGAGAACTTGTCCCTGGCAGCCAGCAATGGTTCGAGATTGTGGCATGGAGACATAACGTCTCCGTTCCCTCCATCAGGGAACGAGGGTTACGTACGTAACAGAGACGTTCCCTATCTGTCGGTCACTACGAGTTATGTCGTGACGACATAGGGGGTCCATGGAAAGCACGACAACCTAAACCCCGTCACAACCCTGTAGCGCTGCAAATGTTGACAAGCAGCCGCGTGTCAGACAAATGCTACGCAAAGATCGTAACCTTCCCAACGCCCCAGCGCAATTCGCTGACCTTAGCGCCCGCAGGTACCAAAAGGTTAGTACATTGCTGCTGGAGATAGCCAAGCCGCTGTTCCTATGACAGAAAAGGTTTTTTAAGAGAAGGGAATTTGTCCTTCATAAAAGGTGCTTCACGTCTTTTTCTGTTTGTTATTTACAGCTTGGCAGTAATGAAGGGGAAGTGAGCCTTCCGGAGAAGGGTGCTACGGAGACCACATCCTGCCCGTAGGGAGGTATCATGTGGAGACACTGATATGGACTGACCCAGGCCTGGGGCAGTACTACATATGGAATGGGTCTCTGAGGCAGGTCCTACCTAGGAGTAGGGAGGAACGGCTGCCAGCAGAGACTGACAGAGTGGTCTGTCAAAGGGAAGACATGGGTTCACAGAGAGGGAAACCTTACCATGTAAGAATATACATATGGGATTGCCCGCAGGGAATCAAACCATATGGACACCTAGCCCAGTAAAGGGGCTGACTGAAAACCCGGGCAAGCTAACACCGATACTGGGCCTGGCATCAGACTGCTCCGCTCAGTCTGACTGCCGGGGGTGCTGGAGGATACTTAGCCAGGGTTTGCTGACCGGGGAACTTACTGGAGGAGGAAAAGGTACTCGCATCCCCGGGTGAGGGGGAATGGCGCAGAAAGCGTGACACTGGCCAGCTCTTCCCGCCACTTACCTGCTATCCAACACACAGAAAGAAACCGGCTCAACGCGGAGACTGTAAAATCTCACGAAAGTGTTCGGTGTCGCCCAACCCACAGCTTTACAGATGACTGACAGAGAGGTGCCGTGCGCCAGCGCATAGGAGGAGGCAACATTCCGTGTGGAGTGAGCCCTCACCCCCACTATCCAGTGGGCCAACCTTCTCTCATCTCAGCAAGGTTGAGCCAGAGATGGCGCTCTTGGGCCACTAACGTGGACATTGCCTTTCCGAGGGACCGCACCGTGACTTTCGTCGCCCAGTGGGCGAAGTCAGTCGCCGAGCGCAGCTTCTGCATCAACCCCGGGTCGGTACTACCCTCGTGCATTTGTTTTAGTGCCTTGGCTTGGTGGACCTGAAGGATAGCCATGGCATGCAGGGCAGAGGCGGCTTGTCCCGCAGCACTGTAAACTTTGGTGGCGAGAGCCGCCGTCAGCTTACAGGTTTTGGACGGGAGACGAGGATGATTCCTCCAAGTGGTGGCGTTTTGCGGGCACAGGTGCACCGCAACCGCTCTCTCCACCTGGGGAATGTCAACGTACCCCCTTGACGGCGGGGGTAGTGAGGACGGAGGAGGCAGACGAGAGGCTTCAGGCCGAAAAAGGAGCCGTTCACGACTTCATCAGCTCCTCATGCACCTCCGGGAAAAAAGGCATCGGTGCAGGACGCGGTTGTGAGCCATGCCCTGCCCCGCCCCGAGAAACCAATCATCCAGCCGCGAGGGCTCGGGACTGGGTGGTGTGTTCACCTCCAGCCCAATGCTCACTGCTGCATGGGCAAGCATGGCCATCAGCTCCGGGTCCGATTCGGCGGTGGTGACAACACCCGAGGGGGGCAGCTCCGCCGAATCTTCATCCTCAGAGGACGATAGCCCATCCCCCGATGCCGCGATCGACATCCGATCCTCCGGCAGCGCACCGAATGAAATGCTAGGACCGTCACGAGCCCGGGTCAGCAGAATCACTCAGGAGCCGCACGGGACATTCGCTGCGGGAGGAGTGAGAGGTCCGCGGGGACATGCCTAGCGGAGAAGCTCTCACTGTGACCCTAAGTGAATCCCCTAATGTCGTCACGACATAACTCGTAGTGACCGACAGATAGGGAACTATATATTGTTCCTATATTGACATATATACCTATATTCCGCTCTCCCTCACACACACACACACACACACACACACACATACACAAATACAAATATATAAATATAAATAAAAATATATTATATACATAGAGGTATACATACAAACAGTATCTATCTATCTATCTATCTATCTATCGATCTATCTTTATAGATATAGAGATGTACTGTTAAAAAGTTTAGGGTCAGTAAGATGTTTTATAAAAAAGTCTCTTCTGCTCACTACACTCATTATAGTCAAGCCTATATTGTCACTTTTGATCAGGCTAATGTATCCTTGACCCCAAACTTTTGAACAGTAGTGTATATATATATATATATATATATATAACTGATTACAGAGATGCACGCATATGTAGATATAGAATTGGTTGAAAGCAGGGAGGCAAGTCTGACCGAAACATTTGCTCTGATTGGTGGCTCGGTCCATGAACACCTTTGACGAGATGACAGATCCGAATGGAAGAAACATCTGCATTAGCTCGTTATCACCAAACTCCTGTGGCAGGTGATAGATAAACAAGTTGCAGCCCTCGGGACCTGAAACAGACATGCATTTTTAATAGGCTGTCGCAGACATGAACATGTATTTTTAGACTTTATGAAAATTATGAAAACACAAATGAAACATGATGGAAACATAAGACTTAGCTCCAAGATTTATTATTTATTTAGTGCAACAGTGAATTATAATAGAAACTTGTTTCCATCAAGGAATAAAAAAAAAAAATGAAAAAAGTAAAAAACAATCCCACATTTCTGACTTTTTTTTCTCAGAATTCAGAAGAAAAAAAGCAGAATTGTGAGATATAAACTCAGAATTCTGACTTTTTTCTAGTAATTCTGAGCTTCTATCTTGCAATTCTGACTTTTTTCTTCTGAATTCTGTTTACATCTCACAAAAGGTAATTGCAACTTTTTAACTCACAATTCCAACTTTTCTTCCCAGAATTCCGAGTTTATATCTCGCATCTCTGCATAAATATCTTGCTATTCTGACTTTATATCTTGCATTTCTGACTTAATATCTTGCTATTCTGACTAATAAAAAAAAAAATTAAAACTTTTTTCTCTGTTCTGCTGAATCGTGAGAAAAAAAGTCCGAATTTTGAGGTAAAAAGTCTCATTTACCATTTGTATTTTTTTTTCTCCGCAGAAAAGGGCTTCCATAAAATATATATCAATAAGAAAATATTTAATTTACATAGGCAACACAATCAAATAAATCATAACATTAGCACTGATAGCATTATAGTCTTTATTTTGCATTTTTGTGCTCCACTTGGATATTTTCTTTTAATGTTGTATGATTTGTGCCATTCAAAAAGTTCAAATGACGTGGACCAATCAGGAAACATCTGACATCTGATGTAATTGAAACTGAAGATTCTAAAATGGAACTCAGTAGTAAAATCTTCACAGGGAAGCAGTCGAGCCTTGGATACCTTGAAATAGGACTATCTAATCTGAATTTCATTGGCTCATAACAGCACGAGGGGCTGTAGGGATGCCCGTACGCCAGAGACTGTGAAAGACAGTGATTAGTGAGAGAAATGAAAGCTGTGATTTCTGTCACTCACCTTCCCGCTGCTGCTGCTGCTGTTGCTGGATGATTTGAGCAGGCTGTGGCAGTGTCTGACCTATAGGAGTCAGTGTTGTGGCAGGATATATGGCTGCAGATATATGCATAATATATGCATACATGAGAGAGAGAGAGAGAGGTACAGATGAGGCAAGAATAAGGACAAGACGAAGGTTGACCTTTATATGCTAATGAAATATGACAGGATCACAGTGCAATGAAATCTGAAAGCACGTTCATCATATATCAAACTGATTTAAAATGACAGATCTCTAGGCGTCCGTACGATAGCTGTAATATCCAGAAAATTAAAATACAACCTGAGGTTTCAATCACAGCAAAGTCACCTACCAGCAATAACACTCCATGAGGAAAGTTATTTTTCTGTGACAGTGACATTTGTGAAAATATCGACTGCACTGAATGAAAAATCACAAATGAGATCTCTTTAACATCTCAGCTCAGGTTGGGAAAGATACAAATGTGATATCTCAAGCATCTCTGGATTCTTCTAGACAATACTGAAATTAAATGGATTTTTTTTAAAAATAATTTTGTTTAAGTCTCCTGCTTCTCAAATGTTTCTGTCCTAAAAGAGAAAGACTCCAGTAATCTCACATGACTCCTCTAGTTTCAGACGAGATCTCAACAATGTCTCAACTATGCTCATTTTGCAAAAATACATTATATATTAAACAGCATTTCTAAAATTTTAATCTCAAATACGTCATATTAGATTAAATGGAGAACAAACTGAGAGTTTCCTGCCTCTAAGATGTTTCTCCTGAGAAAAATACCCCAGTAATCTCAAACGTATCTCCTCTAGAGTTTCAGATGAGATCTCATCAGTGTCTCAAACTGTGCTCATTTTTCTAAAATTGAAATATCTCAAATACCTCAATTGCTTCTCCTAGACAACAAAGAGATTAAATTGAGAATTTTGCTGAAGTCTCCTGCTTCTCAGATGTTTCTCTTGAGAAAAAGACTACATTTTTGAGATCTCATTAGAAACTGTTTTAGATTATTGGAGTCTTTTTCTTAGGAAAAACATCTGAGAAGCAGGAGATTTAAGCAAATTTGTTCTCCATTTAATCTCATTGTTGTCTAGGAGAAACAATTGAGGTATTTCAGATATTAAACATCTGAGAAGCAGGAAATGCAAGCAAAAGTCACAGTTTTTCTCTCCATTTAATCTCAGCATTGTTTAGAAGAAACCGTATCTCCTCTAGAGTTTCAGATGAGATCTCATCAGTGTCTCAAACTGTGCTCATTTTTCTAAAATTGAAATATCTCAAATACCTCAATTGCTTCTCCTAGACAACAAAGAGATTAAATTGAGAACAAACTGAGAATTTTGCTGAAGTCTCCTGCTTCTCAGATGTTTCTCTTGAGAAAAAGACTACATTTTTGAGATCTCATTAGAAACTGTTTTAGATTATTGGAGTCTTTTTCTTAAGAGAAACATCTGAGAAGCAGGAGACTTAAGCAAATTTGTTCTCCATTTAATCTCATTGTTGTCTAAAAGAAACAATTGAGGTATTTCAGATATTAAACATCTGAGAACATCTAATTTTTTCTCTCCATTTAATTTCAGCATTGTCTAGAAGAAACCGTATCTCCTTTAGAGTTTCAGATGAGTTCTCTGTGCACGGATTCAAATTTATTTCACAGCTCTACACTCTTGCTAGATGACAACTTTTGTGTCCAAAGGAATTTTAGAAGAAATACTGAGACTCAAAGCAAACCTAACTGAGCTCTCCACTAGAGTGTGTGTACCTGTGTATTGCTGGACGCCCATGAAGGCCTGCTGGAGCGTGTCGGCTGCGGTGGGGCTCTGGGTGGAGTACGGCTGCAGGCCGTTGGTGTACACCGCCTCTACCTGATGACCGTTGGCTTGGTGAGGGATTCCGCTGAATCCGTTAACAATGGGAGTCATGATGCTCGGCATGGCAGAGGAGGCCAGATTAGCCGGCGGAGAGCTCAAACCTGCGGTGAGACGGACACAGAAATCACCAATCTGAGACCAGCGTCATGTCGACACTGAACTTCACAAGCTGGAATCCCTTTTAATTACTGGCGTTTTAATGATATTGTGCTGTTTCGACTCAATTCTCCGCATCGATTCTACAGCCCAATTGATTCTACGTCAGAATGTGCTGACAGCTGATATCGATTCAGCACACTGTGGATGTAACCAGTTTATGCCTGCAGGGCAAATTCAGCTATGATCTGGGGTTTCCACACGCCTGTGTGTTCATTCTGAATTCTAAGTGAACTGCACTCAGAAAAACATTTTAGTTTGCAATACATGTGATGCTTTCCTGTAAACAAACTAAGCCACTTCCTGTGAAATGAATCAGTATTATAGATGCTGATTTGTTTCATTTTGTTTCGTTACGTAAGGTGCTGAATTTAATCAAATAATTAATAACTGTGCATTCCTGGATCTGCAGATAACTCTACAGATGTCCATGGAATTAAACTCCAAATTCTACACATCCCCATGTTTAATGTTGACATTAATATTTTGGTTATATTTACAATGCTTTCAACTACTAATAAAGGTGGTGTACTCTCAGCTTTGCACTGGAAATTTGCGTTTCTTACTTAGTATTTTTGTCTTGTATTCCAGTACAAAAATCTAAACATTAAATCAAGATGCATGTACTTTAGAAGTAAAATGACTTAAGATATTAAGCCTTGTTTTCTGAAAAACTGGTAAATATTTGGTGTTTTAAAAAAAAAAATCTATCAGTAGCATTAGAAAAATCAACTTAAAGTTAAGTAAAACACAAGCTCATTTTCATTTTTGGGTGAACTAACCCTTTAATTCAAAGGGAAAACAAAATGTTTCTTGTTATTTTCTTACCCCATTTGCAAGTATTTTTTTTCTTTTTGAAAACAAGTCATTTTGCTTCTCAAGTAAATGTATCTTGATTCAAGAATGTTCAGATATTTGTCATAGAAAACTAGACAAAAATACTAGACAATCTTTTTTTGCAGTGTGTTTGTACCATGTTTACATCCATATCACATATTTTAATTTTTACCCCCAAATCAGCTCAGAAAATTTGAAAATATTTATATTTTCTATTTCAAGAATCATTTTTAACATTGATAATAATCAGAAATGTTTCTTGAGTAGCAAATCAGCATATTAGAATGCTTTCTGAAGCATCATGTGACACTGAAGACTGGAGTAATGATGCTGAAAATTCAGCTTTGCATCACAGGAATAAATTACATTTTACACTATATTACAATAGAAACCAGTTATTTTAAATTAGAATAATATTACTGTTTTTACTCTATTTTTAGTCAAATAAATGCAGCCTTGGTGAGTAGAAGAAATGTCTTTCAGAATTATTAAAAAATCTAACTTTAAAAGCACTTAGGTCTCAAAACAAAGCGAAGCCTCATAAATGTTTACGTACAGCAGCTGTGTACGGTTTGATGCAGAAGCGTGATTATGTACATGTCTGATGCGCTGCTGGCTGTATCTAATGTTGGACAGATCAACACGCTTCAACTTTACTGTCAATCAAACTGTAGAAGAGCAGGTGGTTAGAAAAACAGCTTAGTTATTCCTAGAAGAGGGGCAAACACAATCCAACATACGCACACTGCACAGGAAAAAACAATAATTCACCAGATAATGAACCGTTTTGTTAAAAAGAAACACTGCATGTTAGATGTTATGTAGAATATGAGCTTTGCATACAAGGAATATGGGAGTCGATTTATACCACAAAAAAGTTTCAAATAGGATAAACAGCGCTCATGATGAAATAGCAGAGAAATACAAACACCTGAGAGAGCCAGAGAAATATCATCATCTCTCCTGCCTGCTGTCTTTGTGTAGTGCACAGTGTGTTTTGTCGACTTTGAAGGGTGTCTGCTGCTCTCTCTGAGAACTGCACTCTTTAATGTCTGATCTACAGTTGAATGAAAGAGTCAAATCAAACACATTGTGTGTTTCTGTGCTGTCCGGTCTTGTGTAACACTCCTGTTCACTGCTGGAAAATCCAGCTTAAGATGGTAGATGGATTCTGTAGCATAGTAGATGGTTTCTACTAGTCCAAACTGGTTTAAGTCATTGAGTAGCTCAGCTGTCTGGACCTGGTTAAACTCATAGACCATCTTGGTTAAGGGCCCTCAAAAGGGACAGTAAAGACATTTATAATGTTCTATTTCAAATAAATGCTGTACTTGAGAACTTTCTATTAGTCAAAGATTCCAGAAAAAATATATTACACAACAATATAAAGCAGCACAACATTGATAATAATAATAAATGTTAAAATCAGCATATTAGAATGATTTCTGAAGGATCACTCTAGACTGGAGTGATGATGCTGGAAATTCAGATTTACATCACAGGAATAAATTATATTTTACAATATATTTAAATAGAGAACAAACTGTAATAATATTTCAAAATGTTTTTGATCAAATAAATGCAGACTCGGTGAGCATAAGAGACTACATAGCTGCTACATAGTTCTCACCTTAAACTAGTTTTAACTGGATTTTCCAGCAGGATTGAGAAAAGGAAACAAGAGTAGAGAGAAATATAAGTGTGACTGTGAGTCAGAGAGTGTTAATAACACAGAGCGTCTCTCAAACACCTGACAGCGTTTAAACGTGAATTCACACGCTCAGTGAAATACTGAGCTAAATCAGACTGCTGAGGGAAGAGCTGCTCTTTTACATTTACGGACAACATGGAATTCAACCAGCAGGTCTAGACAGATTCATTTGAGGGTCTTTACACACACAATGTGCTAATTTATGCTTCAAACACACAATCAGTGCATGCTAAAAAAACAGAAAATAAAAATGAAAATTATTTCTTATTTTACACAGAAATAAAAATTCTATAGAAAATGTCCTGGGATAAATGCATAATGAATAAAAACATCAGTGAAAAATCTATTTAAAAAAAAAGTACATTTTTACTGACTTGCAGTGTCAGTTATATACTATTACAGTATTTATTCATATTTTAAATTAGCGTTTATTTTAATATTTTTTGTTTTGATTTTAATTTTAGCTTTAGTAACTTTGTAACATGATTTTTTGTAATTTGTATTAGTTTTTTTTCCCAGCGAGTTTTAGTATTTCTTATTTTTATTTATTTGATTTATTTTGTAATAAACTCAAACCCAATTTAGGTATTTCAGTTATTTATGTTTTATTTTATTTTATATTTTTATTTTATTTTTAATTTAATTTTTAATTAATTAATTTATTTATTTTAGTTTAGTTTTAGTTAACAATAACAACACTGTCATCTTCATGTTATTACAAAACCTAAATGACTTTACTTCTTGTGTGGAATATAAAAGAAGATATTTTGAAGAATGGCTGCTTTTTTCCATACTGTAAAAACGAATGTGCTAAAGAAGCAATGACTTCCACCATATGGTCAAAGAAACAAAGCCATTCTGTGTTCCACTGAAGAAAGTCAGTCATACAGGTTTGGAACAGCATTGAGGGTGAATAAATGATGCCAGATTTCGTTTTTGGGTGAAATATACTTTTATGATTAACGACAACACCTAGACAAAAGCTCAACAATAATTGAGCACCTTAAAGGGATACTCCACCCCAAAATTAACATTTTTGTCATTAATCACTTACCCCCATGTCGTTCCAAACGCGAAGAAAAGAAAAATAACGACTTTATTCAACAATTCGTCTCCTCTGTGTCTCTCCACATCACCGTAGCACCATTTTGGAGAATATCTGCTGAACGCAAGCAGCGTACGCTATTCTGTGTCAGCCGCGCTGCACGGATGCACTGTTTTCGTTCAAATCAAAGCGTAAATACACGTAGAAAACGTATCCTTGTGTCGCGGCTGACACAGAAGAGCGTACGCTGCTTGCATTCAGCGGATATTCTCCAAAATGGCGCTACGGTGATGCAGAGAGACACAGAGGAGACGAATTGTTGAATAAAGTCGTTATTTTTCTTTTCTTCGTGTACAAAAAGTTGTGTTCTGAAGACGAACGATGCTTTTACGGCTTTGGAACGACATGGGGGTAAGTGATTAATGACAACATTTTCATTTTGGGGTGGAGTATCCCTTTAATTTTCAAAGTCATTCTGGTTAAAAATTCTGAAAAGGAATGTGCTGTTCTTGGCCAGAAAATAGGACCACATTTTATGCTGACAGTCAAAAGTCTGCTTTAGTCGCAAGACTAGAGGAAAAAAACAGAAGCTGTGAAATCTTGCCCTACAAAACTTGAAGTCGCTCAGGGTATTGTGTATGTACAGCTCTTGACTGCGAGCTAAACAGGTAATGAGTGGATTTGCATTTACTGTTGCAGAAAGTCACATCACAGCTGTAGCCAAATATTTACTCTTTATGGAGCAGGAATCACTGTGCTAAAGTGTGGGGGACAGCACGGGCCCAGGAGAGCTTTTGTGTCTTTTGCGGTGCTTTGTGCTTTGTGGGTCCCATGGAGCCATGATAAATTAGGCTGCCATGTCTACTACTGTCTGTTCCACAGACTCCAAGATACTCTCTGTTTCTCCTAATCACACACAAACACACACACACACACACACACACACACACACACACACACACATATATATATATATATATATATAATGCAAAGATTTAAAACATCTAATAAATAAATCAAAGTAAAAGGAGAAGGGTGGCAGTTAAATGTGATCAGTAGCTGCTTGTTGGAGGGGAAGTGACCCCCGGACAGATTTGCACAAAGCATCAGAGTGCACTGGTCTCAGAACAACATCCTGCTGGTCACGTCATTAGTTTGATATGAAAGGCAAACGCTGAGCCCAGAACAGCACCCAGACTAAAGGTCATCGTGTGCGCAGATGAAAGCATCTGTTCTGTGTGGCACAGATCGCTCGAGCTCCAGATGATTACGCTTGTCAGTCAGAGGCCTGGCATTTCAAACGGCGTGCAATTACAGGAGGCTCAAGCCAATCGCAATGCGGCCGAATCAAATCCATGTGCCTTTTGGGGAGCTGCATGTATATCTAATTAAAGAGCCTATGAAATCAAAACCGGACTATTAGTTCTGTACATGTGTGTCAGCTCAGAGCTCAACTACATGCTAGTTTTCTCCTAAATATAGACAAAAATGGTTTGTTCTGAACATTTACAGTGCACTTTGAACATTTCTGCAGTCAAAATCCTGACCAGCGGATGGATTTTAAAATGCTTCTCAAATTCAGGAGCTTGCTTTCAAGCGGGACCCTGTGGACTATCCTGTATCCCCGTCTTTAAGCGTCTGCTACAGGAGTGTGAGCCTGCAGCTGTGTGTGTGTTTTTGGGGCGGTCTCCATCTGAAACGCATCATTGAGATGTGGTTCACATCCAGCGCATCGATTCCCACGGATCAATAGGAATCTCTAGCGCGTTCCAGTCCATGACACTGATCAGGTGTGGTGGGAGTGAAAGCTGATATTGTGAGCGTGAGATGTGCTTTGATCAACAAACGGAGTGCAAAACTTGGAGACTTACTGCCAGTAAACTGATCTAATGTAACACATGTAACAAAAAAATCTAGTGACTTAACACTATCTACACACACACACACACACACACACACACACACACACACACACACACACACACACACACACACACACACACACTCACACTCACACTCTCACACTCACACACACACACACAGTACATTAAAAATTTACTTTAAGAAATAAAGATAATTCTTTACAATAAGGTCTCATTTCTTAATAGTTTATGTATTGATTAACAAGAACTACAAATCTGAAATATTTTTTTTTACAACATTTATTAATCTTTGTTAATGTTAGTAAATAATTACAACTGAAATACAGCTGAACTGAATTACAAATAAATACAACTTTAAAAATTTTATGTTAGTTTACTGTACATTAAATAATGTCAATACATAGAGCGTTTCATCTGAAAAATGTTTTAGTAAATGATGAAATTAACACTAAGACCTATGAAATTAACATAGAAATATTGGTCACTGTAAGCCAGTGTTATTTCAGTATCATTGTTATACTATATATATATATATATATATGTGTGTGTGTGTGTGTGTGTGTGTGTGTGTGTGTGTGCGTGTGTGTGTGTTTTTGTTGTTTGAAGTAAATTTTAGATTTATATTTTCTGTTTTGACTAATTTTAGTTAAAGTTTTAGTAATTTTGTTTGTTTTTGTCATTCATCATGTTTTTATTAATTGTTATTTATTAATTTTAGTTGATTTAGTTTGAGTTATTTTAGTACTTCAAATGAAACCAAATGAAAATAAGAAATGTCGCCTTCGCAACTAGCTAAATAAATTAAATTTAAGTTTTATTTTAAATAAGTATTTAGTAATTTTTTTTTTATGTTTTCTTTTTTACTTATTTTAGTGATTTTTTTTATTTTAAATAAAATAAGTTTAAGCTTTTATATTTTGTTTTATTTCACCTTATTTTATTTCAAGTAATGAAAACGTTTTCATTTTAGCTAACTATAATATCCCTCTTGTAAGTTCATGTTAACTAATGTAATTAATTAATGTTAATAAATGGAACCCTTATTGTAAAGTGTTACAAAAAATCACTTCATAAGAACTTAATCTGTCTACAAAATTTATTTCACACATTTAAGCAGAAGCCTTCTGATCACAATGTTTAAATTAACAATTAATAATTAACACTTATTTAAAAATAAAACCCTACCCTACATTTGTTGTTGAATATCCACTTTCACAAAGCATTTCACATTACTGAAGTTTTGAGCAGTTCTGCTAAATTTTTAGTAAGAAATTTGAGGTGGAACATTTGAGATCAAATTGACACCTAAATGAGATTTTTTTAAGGTTGTGCGTCAGACTCACCTGACACAGGTGTCATCGGGGTGGGTGGCAGGCCGTTCATGTTGAGCGCCCCCACCTGGTGGATCTGTGTCGCTGGAAACGCCACACTGGGTGCTAAATAACCGCCATGAGAAGCTGCCATAATCGCTGCCTGCTGCTGCATCAGCTAAACCAACAAAACAAGAGAGAGAGCGAAAACATTTATCATTATATTAAATACACAAACAGTAAATACACATACCGTAAAATAAAGTGTAACGTTTCGGTTACTTGTGTAACCCTCGTTGGGCAGCGCTTGCAAGTTCACCACCTGATCCCTAAAAGGCGTGGTGGGAACTTTGGGCACATATCCAGGCCGGGTCTCAGGACAACGTGAGAGTTCCCCGTTCCGAATTCTAGGTACGAATCGTCGACCGAAAATGCCTTCAGGTCCCCTACCCTCTTGACCGAGGCCAATGCGGTGAGGAGCACCTGACCATGAACCGAAGTAGCCCTCCGAGAACCGGAGGAGCTAGAGCGGGGCATGGCAAGGGGGATACCCCCCCGTTTAATGAAGAGGTATCTAGACCACAACATCGCGATGGTTATGTTCCCGCACTGAGAACATGACTCATCCACGAGCGCTGCTTCAGCGTGCTGTAAGCCCAGGCACGACACACAGCGATCATGACCATCAGATGAAGCCAGGAAGCGACCACATCCAGAAACGCACGAGCGGGAAGCCATCTTTAAAAAGACGCCCGTCGCTCGTGGAGCTCTTTTAGATATTTGCTCTTTTAGGAAAAAAAGGAAACACTCTTTTAGAGAGAGCGCTGAAGCGCCCAGGGGAGGTCGCGGCGAGACCGCAGAATGGCAGCTGCAGCACGCCGAAGATGAGCAGCACTGAATGGCAACCCCCGCTGACGCGCCGTAACACCAACGCTAGGCTGTCTCTTTGTAGACACTCGCGGAGATTCGTCCTCGTAGAAGGCTCGGCTCCGAAGCGAAAAGCTGATGTGCGTTTGCACGCGTTCTCCTTTTATACCCGCGCTGCGGGGCGGGGTGCGCATGGCGAAACACGCACGCCAACTGTCATTGGCTTGTTTAGGAGAGATCTCTCGGGCGAGATCCCAATTCGTCAGTCACGACTGACGCAACGTCGAACGTGACTGACTGAAAGGGAACCCACATTACCATGGTATCTTGTTCACAAAAAGTAGTAGTGTTAGTTATATAACTTGACCCTGTTCGAGATGCTACATGTGTCTGTAGGTTTGATCAAAGTACAATCCTAAAGTGAATTAATGAACACAAATGCACTGTAGCATAGCTAATTACTATAATTATGTCACTATGGCAACAACCATCATGCGCAAACACAAGAGTTCAAAACAGACGTTATGTTCCTTGGAGTAAATAACAAACGCTGGATCCGAGTCCTGAAATGACCTCATATTGCAAAAATAGATTTTATTCTGGCCAAATAAAATATATTTGAAACATGCTGTAAATGTACGGTATAAACAGTTCAGTTGAACAGTTGAACTGGAAGTTTTTCAAACGCTTTCCATATTTTCCAAATGTCAAAATATATTGTAATATAAAATCTTCAGGCTTCAGGGGCAAAATATATTGATAATATCAAAGTGCATTTTAGATATATGTGGAAATGTGGGTGGACTAGAACAAACTTTATCTATTTTCTACTTTCTTCAATTTCTTGAAGTGTATTTTGAAAATATTTCTAGTGATATTACATTATTATAAGAATTGTAATTTTGCGAGATACACACACACACACACAAAATATATTATATTTTATATATATCAACAAAATACATTTATATTTATATTAAATATATATGATATATAAATACAAAATAATATAACAAAGAGTGAAAAATTTAAGGGGGTCTGAATACTTTCCGTACCCACTGTATATATATATATATATACATATATTAACATATATACAAATAAAATATTTAATTAATTTCATTTAATTTAATAATTTATAAATAAATATTGAGGTAGATGATAGTGTGTGCCTTTGTGGAACTGATACAAATTGGCTTTCTAGAAGACGGCTGTAAATACACACACCAACTGACCACATCTTGACACGGACAGAGTGTGTAATCTATACATACATCAATATAAACCACACTGATCTATAGGATAAACCATAAGCATGCATTCTTAATGACGACGCTTTGTTTAGCTGTGATGCTGGAGGATGAGATGCTTTAGCAACAGCAGAATCCACATTCATTTCAAACACTGTACATAGTACCATGGTATTCTCTGAATTACCCTGGAGTACAATGCAAATCCAGTGTACAGTGTTGTACATGCATATTGCAATCATTTAGTAGTGGAGTGTATAACAACATACCATAATATATCAGTAGCACACTGTTGATTACTACAGAAAATAATTTCAAATTGACATATGTGTGGATTTGGCACAGTAATACTTTTGTAAGAGTGAAGTGTGCACAATTTTATGTCTGCATTTCGTTTCAGCAAACCCTATAAAATGCCAAAATAAATGTAACTATTGAACTAAATATCAATTTCCACCCAGATTTAGTTCAGTTAAATGAACTACTTACACAAAATATAAAATGTCAAAATATATTGTAATATATTACAAAATATATTTGAGGCTTCAGAGGCAATACATTGATAGTGCATTTTAGATATAAATGCAAATGTAGGTGGATTAGAATAAACTATTTTGGATTTTCATTACTTCTTTTTGTATTTTTCTTCTTACATTTTAGACAATATTAATATCTAGATTTTTCAATATACAAAAAATTCGGACTTTTTTTCTTGAGTTTATATGTCATAATTCAGTTTTTTTTTTCAGAATTGTGAGATATTAATGCAGAATTGTGAGATTTAAACTCAAAATTGTGAGGAAAAAGTCTGAATTGTAAGATTAAAAGTCACACTTACCTTTTTTATTCTGTTGTTTAAACAACAACAACAACAAACAGAATTGTGAAATAAGCTTCCATAAAAGGAAGCTTTTATGGAAGCCCCCCCCCCCAACAATTTCAGCAAACCCTATAGAAATGTCCAAATAAATGTACTGAATATCAGTTTCCAGCAGTTTAATTCAACACTTGTGCTGATCAAATTCACATGGCAAATAAACTCCCATCCAGCCGTGAGACACAAAGACGAGCAGAAAGCCTCTGTGATAACTCATTTACTGTGTGTGTGTGTGTGTGTGTGTATTTGTGTATGCATCTGCGATTTTATTGAATGCTAATGTGTGCTGAACTCCCCAGGTACTGTGAGGCAATCAGCGCTCCATCATGGGCCAATTATTCGTGTAGTGGCACTGCGAGAGGCACAGCTTCAGCCGCTCACATGGAGAAAAGGAGGACGACACACGTGTTTATGTATGTTTGCGGGGACATGCTGACGTGTTGGGGGAAGGGTTGGGAAAATGGAAGTGTTTCGTGTATGAAGAAATGAGATGTCCAAACGGATGACAATAATCACTTGTTTTGCTGCTCAGTCAAAGTGTAGCTGTAGTATAAACGGTTGGGCAGCCTCAACGTGCAACAATATAAATGTGTCAACTGATAGAGATCCTGCTGTGGTGTTTATATGCAGCAGACAACACAGCATGCAGATTAGTTTTTTGTGAATTAATTTATTATGAATAATCAGATTTTTGGAAAAAAAAAAGAAGAAGAAAAAAAAATTCATATATTTTTTAGTTTAAATTTTTTTATGTATAGAAGCTTGTTTCTGCTTCAGGATGAAAAATAAAAAAGGATGAAAAAATATTGCAACTTTTTATCTCACAATTCGGAATATTTTTTTCTTACAATTCTGAGTTCATATCTAACAATTTGGCCTTTTTTCTTGCAATTCTGAGGGAAAAAAAGTTTGACATAAACTCAAAATTGTGAGATATAAACTCACAATTTCGGAAGAAAAATCAGAACTGCAAGATATAAATTCAAAATTTGGATTTCTTTCGCAATTCAGCATTTATATCTTACAATTTTTAGTTTATAAATTCTTTTTTTTTTCTTACCGCCACATAAAAAAATAAATAAATAAGGCAATCTCACAATTTCTATGTGCAAGAAAACAGTCTGCATTATGAGATAAAATGTCACAATTAGCTTTTTTATTTATTTATATATTTTTATTTAATGGTGGAATGAAGCTTCAACAAGGCTGCATTTATTTAATAAAATATCCAGTAAAATCAGTAATATGGCCATACTTTACTTTTTAAAATAGCTCTTTTCTATTTGAATATATTGTAAAATGTAATTTATTCCTGTGATGCAAAGCTGAATTTTCAGCATCATTATTCCAGTCTTCAGTGTCACACGATCCTTCAGAAAAAATATGCTTCTAATATGCTAATTTGCTGCTCAAGAAATATTTTTGATTGTTAGCAATGTTGAAAACGTTTGTGCTGCTTCATATTTTTGTGGAAACTGTGATAAATTTGTTTTCAGAATTCTTTGATGAATAGAAAGTTCAAAAGAACAACATTTATTTTAATTCAATTATATGAAATACATTTCCAGCCAAAAATATTAATAAAATTATATTATATAGGCTCATTATTGCTGTTTTGTTTGTGTGCTCAAGTCGAACAAAGCACGCACAACTAGATATGAATCACGAAAATCACATTGAACAGCAAGAACGCTGGAAACAAATCATAATTAACATGACAAATACTCACGTCAGGTTAATATCCTCTGAATTGTTTGCTTATGATTAGCAAAAGCTGAGTTTCTGTGCAAGAGCCAGGCACTTGCTGTGTGCAGTTGTACGGCGATCCACCAGGAGGCAGTGCAAACCACCAACCGCTCCTCAATCACAACACAACACACCCACTCACTCAAGGTGTTTTCAAACTACAGCATGTTTTTACATCAGTCTGAACAAAATGAACATCATCATTGTGCACAAACCCCTCTTATGGTCACTATAAAAGCCTTTGGATTGAAGCGTGACACAGCAGAATTGCACCGCCGTAACGTGGTTGAAATGAAGTGGATTTGTGGCCTGTTCTTTGTTTACATTGAGAAAGTTTCTGAAATACCCTTCAGTGCTCGACTGCTCGTGCTTTGGTTCTTGAGCAGTGCATGCTGCAACATTACAGCCTCCAATCCTCTCTCTCGCCTTTATTTGTGTCTTCTATTCCAGTGCCAGGCCTTTAAGACATCAAAGCAGAGCCAGAGAGTGCTGGAGCCGGGCATTATGGGACATAGAGTACAGTGTCAAATAATCCTTACAAGTGCATTGATCATCATTTTTAGTGCACAAATTGAGCTGTTACACCTGCTGTGCTAATTTTTCGACATCAAAAGGAATAAACCTGGAAATAGAATAGAGATGAGATTCTCAATCCATTCTGAGCATGAAAGAAAAATAAGAACAACCACAGGCTGATCTTTAGGGTTAACCTGCCATTTCTAGCACTGAGCAGAAACCAAAGCTGTTAGACATAACTGAGCGAATGACACTTAATGACAGTTGTCATAAACATGCATAAAAAACCTTCATATTCAGGACATGTGTCATGTCATGATTATGTAGGTGTCATGTCATGATTATGAAGGTGTCATGTCAGTCTTATGCACACCCCTTCAAGTAAAGTGTAACCATAAACACTTTCTCACACAATATGACACACAATATGAGCATTTAAACATATTTGTCCAGATTGTAAATTAAATAATACATTTTTAATACTTCTAAACCTTCCAAACCGTTTGATATCTGACATTTGCTTTTACTTTAATATATATAATTTGTATAATTTTTATGTATTTTTATTGATATTTTTGAGCTCATCATCAAATTAGGTAATATTAGGACTTTTTTGCAAACCAGCAGACATATTTTTTTTCAAGATGCAGGATTGTGTATATCCACGATACTACAATAACACTGAATTCCCGTTACACTGCCCCTGAAAATGCAATGCAAACTCACGCTATGAATTGCATAGTACTATAATGCATTACACTGTGCATTGCATTCTGGCACATTATGCAATGCAACAATGTGTGAAATCAAACTTGCATAGCTGTAAGTGTTTCATGCACTTAGCTATTTGTGTGCACAATTCAAGTTGTGTGTGTGATTATACATGTGTGGTTGTATTTACTGTGTACGGGGACACAGAACAGGTGGATGATGGGATACCTGGGGGTTTTCCTTCTGTTGGTTCCATGTTTAGATGTCACAGAAGGAATTGCACACAGATAGCACAGTATGTTCACACACGCGAGGGATAATAAGAGGCGAGCCGCTAACATGGCGAGGAGGCACACGCGGTTCTGGCGAAGGATCATATGGATTATAAAATCAAAGCTGTAGTTTGAAATGTCACACACACACATATGCACACACTTCAGCGCAGTGTAATTAAAACTGAACGCCTGCAGGGTATATGCTATATATGGAGCACGGCGCTCCGTTTGACACGTGATACGGATCCTCAAACTTCCCACTTCTGTGAGACTCTGTGAGCTGAAAAGTATTTAAAATAGCGGCTAACTTCCACACTATCAGATCACAGGCTTAATCTGTATCTAATGCCGTTATCGTTTCAAGTAATACGCTTATGAATATGCACAGAAATCCATGTGCTTTGAATACATTATCCATTCCATAAGTGAAGTGCGATTCATCTAAGATGAATTACTCAAAGACACATTTGGCTTTTCTTGGATGATGAAGCTAATAAAAATCATCTTGATATTTTTCAGCCTTTTGATAATATTTGATATATATCGCTATATTTATGTATTTTCTCTGAAACGGCTTAAAACCATCATTTCACCCAAACAGCCGTGGATGCCAAGTCGATTTAAATGATTAATGCGAGAAGTAAAAGAGTTAAAATCGAATTAAAAATAATCTGTTTTTCACTAAATGACATAGAAAGAATGATATTTAATTATTTTCATTTAAATGCACCTAAATAATCATACAAATCATACATTTAAAGACTTTTTACATGTTACACGCATACTTTAGTGAATATTCTTCAATGATTGATGCCAACAATTGACTGAATCAGAGTTTTGAACTAGTTGATTAATGCAAGAAATAAAACAGCAAAAACGAATTTAAAATGATGTTTTTCATTATCTGACACAAGAAAGAATGACATTTAATCATGTCATTTATATGCTACATTAAAAGCTTTTTTAAATGCTACATCCAAACTTTAGTCGATATTTTATTGTATCAGAGTTCTTAACTGATTCCTAGAAATGAATCAAACGTACCAACTCTAATGCCATGTTTACTAAAGTTTAAATAAGAACAGCTATTAAAATCTCATAGTTGTAAGGCACATGTATGAAAAACAAAACTGGCCTTTTGACACCTTAGTCTTTAGGAAATGTAATGGCCAAATAAAAGGTGCAAGCTGCTTATTTTTATACTTATATTCAAATGTACTCTGAATATTTAATATTTCACTCAGCTCTACTGCAAACACATGAACTCAAAACCACAGGTTACAAAAGTGTCCTTTATAATCAAAACCAAATACTCAAAATGCAAATAAACCATAAAAACAGCACGCTAGATCAATTCGATTCATGTTACTTAGTCCGATGGGATCAAGAGTTCAAATTGCACAGGAACTCTTGGGTTTTTCTGCAAGTATTCATGGGTCGGGAATTGAAATTATGTTAATGCATTATTCAGCAGCGTAGTGAGAGCTAAAAGCGGCTTCAGACAAGGACAGTGGTCATTAATCGGAGGCTATTAGACTCTGTACAGCACAAATGCACAGGACAATGTGTGTTTGATTCTTTAGGCCCTTTAGACACGTGCAATGCATGTTGTGTGTGCTCACCGCGTGTGTGTAAGTACTGTAGGTGCTGCTGTAGGTGCTGAACGGCAGGGCCACGGTGGGGTTGAAGATGCCAAACTGGCCGACCATCTGTTGCATGCGGCGTATGGTCCTCTCTTTATCAGTGTCAGCGAACTTTACCACCAAACTCGACGAAGCTCCCTGTGAGAGACACATGGACAGTTGTATTGTTACACTGCAACATGCACATATACATGAATGAAAATCATCATATTATACGCTTTGCATTTTGTAGCAAATGTTCGTGTCTTGCACCAAAAACAACTCAGTTTCCAAATTTAAGTCGTTATTCGATGATCATCTTTCCATGCATGTAAGCTGTGATCTGCTGCAAGGAGAGTTAGGATGTATGTCAAGACTTGCAGTAAAAATCTTACATTTGGACCAAAATGTGGTTCCTCACTACCGTAAAGCTGTGGTAAGACTTAAAAAGATGAGAAATATAGCCACAAGTTGTATGGAGTGCTTTATGGTGCTTTTGTGTTCATTTTCGTTTATTATTGTCAACTAAAACTACACTGAGAAAAATGGTGTAGAAACAATTCTTACAAAAAAAAAAAGGTAAAAAAAATTACAAAGAAACAACAAACAAAATGTTGAATGAATCTAGATATTTTTTAATTAAAAAAGACTAAAAAAAAAAAGTATTTTCTTGTAAAATTTCTTTGTAAAATGTTGTAAAATTTACTCTTTTTCTCTTCAACTTAGAAAAATCTTTATAATACAGTATATTAGAAACATGTTTGTTAACTGAAATCAAGCTGAAATAAACTATAATTATTAGATAAATCACTTAACTAATATTTGAATAAATAAGTTTAGGCTGAAGCACTAAAATTAGCTGAAAAAAAAAAACAACACTAAAACTGAACTAAAATGAAAATTGAAATAAAAATAAGTTAACCAAAAGAACTAAAAAAAAAACCCACATAACAAAATGACTAAAAATTTATCTAAAATAAAACTGAAAATATAAAAATAAAATGTAATTCAAAATATTAATAAAAACAAAATAGTACATAAATATAACTAAACACTAATTTCCAGGCTGTTCTTCACATAAAGCTCTTTCATAGCTAAAAAAAAAAATTGCCAAACAAATTGTTTGGAGTACTTTTAAAGTGCTTCTATGTCATTATTACTGTTAACTAAAACTAAAATGATGAGAAACAGAGAGAAATGTGTTAACTTAAATAAAGCTGAAATGAAATAAACTATATTAGATGAAAAACTAAACTATTTTAACTAAACGAAAATAATAGCAATAAGAAAATAACGGCAAATAACAGCAATAAGATCAAAAATAATAAATAGAAACTAAAACTAATACTGCAATAAAAATAAATTAACCCTTAATAGTAATATTTAAAGAAAATAATAAAAATTACAAATGCACATAACAAAAAAATCGAACTAAAATTAAATATATACTAAAAATATAAAAAGATTATATTTTCGAATATAAATTCGAAATATTAATATAAACTATAGGCAATTAGTATATAAATAATAAAAAAAAAACACTTGTCCCTTTTGAAATTTCAAAACATCAGTCCTCTTTTATTGTAACTGCATGCAAAAGAGCAACCACACCAAATTTTAGAAGAAAGAAAATCATATGGGTAATCATACAACTGTTTTTGCAGTGTATAGCAAAATCTCCATCTTTGTCACCTGTTATTTTTCCAACCCCACCATTTTTCTCTGTCTTGGTGCTAATAAAAAGTGCAGTGCAACATCTCACAAACACGGGGACTCATTAAAAGGCTCTTGATGATTTACTGCACCACTTGACCTTTCGTGTGCTGGGCCTCTCTGACCCGCTAAACCAGCACGAGATCGATCACCCTAAAGGCCACAATATTCCCCTCATCTCAGAGACTCTGAAGATCTGGACCTCTGGGGATTCGATCAAAAGCCTACACAGTACTTCAATGCAGATTATGGGTGAAAGTGAGCATCATACTGAGGGGCCGAGCACTTGAAGTGAGCCCTCAGAAGTATATGTGCATCCTACACAAAGACATACGTCACTGCCACTTTGGTCTAAATTAGCATTGATGTTGAAGTAGCAAAAACCATGAGCGTCAAATCTAGTATTTTTATGTAAATGTCTAAAAAGCGAGACTGCCAGAACAGGTTTGAGATCTGACATCAATGTGACAAACAAGCTGTAAAGTAATGCTGAAATATATTAATGCATTAAAATTGGTATGGTGGAAAGTGTCGCTCTGTAGGACTCAAACAAATTGTAAGGCTGAGCTGTTAATGAGGCCTATGCTAACTCAACGCATGACTCCGAATGTGTAGTTGAGATACTATTAAAATGTCCCTGAAACTCAGTACAGCTAAACGCTCTCTCGCTGGCTCTGTTCCAAAACCTAGTGAGCTGTCTACATAGTCAGCAGCCTTCACACGCAGCATGTAAACTAATATGGAACCAGTTTGGAATGCACTGCATTAGCAGCAAATGCACCAAACTAAATCGTTATGGGCTTGATAAGATTCTTTCATGTATCAAGGCATCATTTAATTGATAAAATATATTGTAATATTGTGAAATATTGTTTGGTATTTGTATACATCATAAAATGAAATTTATTCCTGTTATGCGCAGCTGAATATTCAGCATCATTACTGCAGTCTTCAGTGTCACATGATCCTTCAGAAATTATTCTAATATGCAGATTTGCTGCTCAAGAAACATTTCTGATTATTATCAATGTTGAAAACAGTTGTGCTTCCTAATGTTTTTTTTTTAAAACCATGATACAGTTTTCGTCAGGATTCTTTGATGAATAGAAAGTTCAGAAGAACAGCATTTATTTGAAATCAAAACCTAACATTATAAATGTCTTTACTGTCATTTTTGAAACATTTAATGCATCCTTGCTGAAAAAAAGTATTAATTTCTTCAAAAAAACTAAAATACAACTTTTGACCGGTAGTCTCTGTGATTCATTTTTAATTCGAACATTGCGTATTAAAAGAAAGAATTAATAAAAGTGAAGACTGAACCTAATGGTGCTGCTGCTCTGAGCAGTTCGTGATCAGAATCTCCTCATTGATTTAATTCTCTTTTTAAGTCGGATGGGAGGCAAACCACAAGCTGTTATCTTACCCAGAAATTTGGCAAAAGGTCTAAATCTATAATGAAGGTACACCAGGCAGTGACATTACAAAGATATTCAATAGGTCAAAATAAATGAGAAGAAGCTTTGTGAAAACAATATACCGTAATCACAGACATTGCTATCCAGACGGGATTAGATTTCTCAGAGTAAGTCATTTGCTCTGTAATTTTGTGCAGGAAAATTACAGACTTGTTTGATTCAGGCAGAATTAAAGTCACAAAGCAAGTCTGTAAAACACACATTTACCTGACCTCCTCGGGGAAACTAATCTCATTCACCCAAAAATGAAAATTTGCAGAAAATTTACTTACCCTCAGGCCATCCAAGATGTAGATGACTTTGTTTTTTCATCAGATTTGGAGAAATGTAGCATTACATCACTTGCTCACCAGTGGATGCTTTGCAGTGAATGGGTGCCGTCAGAATGAGAGTCCAAACAGCTGATAAAAACATCACAATAATCCACAAGTAATCCACACCACTCCAGTCCATCAATTAACATCTTGTAAAGCAAAAAGCTATGTGTTTGTAAGAAACAAATCAATCTAACTTTAAATCCATAAATTTGGTTAATAATCCATAATAACCAGGGGTGCACATAGGTTTTTCAGCCTGGTTCTCATAAGAGAACCTGGAGATTTGGTTTGGTCCTCACACTGCACATAGTGTGACCGATTAAATATAACTATAAAAAAGAAATGAATAATAGTGATAATATTATTGCACTTTATTTATTTAGTTTTTGAAATGAAATAATAAACTAAATAATAAAGTGTGATAATACTATTATATTTTAAAATAAAAAAGGGAGTATTAAATACAAATACAGTTATTTTATAGTAAACTTAAAAATAAAATGCTAATATTTACTTCTTTTTTCATGAATTTTCTTAATTTTCAACCTTAAAATCAGCAGGTTTTTATTTTGGCGGGTTGCCGGCAAGTAAGTATATGCGCTTCCAGGTTTAGCGCTGCCGATTGAAGAGCGTCTGTTTATGGAATGTCACAGTTTTGCATTGTGCTTTGAAAACTGCAGCGGGTAGCCTAGATTTATGCTTTCAATTTGAATAGAAATCTTATACAGTACAGTTTGTCGATCTAAAATGGTAATTGTGCATTAACAGCTGTCATCCATGTCGGTACGCAAATGCGCTGTCAGAACATATTTATACAGCGCATTTTTTATTTTGGTCGCGCATGCGGACCACTTATGTGCACCCCTGATAATAGCGCTCCCCCCAGTGAAGAAGTCCATCCCCTGTTGTCCTCTCACATCAAAATCCACCAAAATATGTGTTTGTTTTGGACTGTTTGTTTGCATGTAAACGGTGATTGATCTCCTGATTCAGACGAGTTGGACTTTTTTCACTTGAGAAAGCAATGTTATGGATAGAGGAGTCGTATTTCAGCCAAAAGCAGTAGTTTTGAATTTGTTTCTTACAAACACGCAGATTTTGGCTTCACAAGACGTTAACTGATGAACTGGAGTGGTGTGGATTATTGTGATGTTTTTATCAGCTGTTTGGGCTCTCATTCTGACTGCACCCATTCACTGCAGAGGATCCATTGGTGAGCAAGTGATGTAATGCTACATTTCTTCAAATCTGTTCTGATGAAGAAACAAACTTCAATTTTCAATTTTCAGCAAATTTAAATTTTTGGTGAACTGTTCCTTTAAAATCTCGGCTGTGTAGGCCATTCAAACTCATGTCTCTTACTCATCCATTCTGTTGTCGAGTATGTAAATGCTTTTAATTATCGGTATGCAAAGTGTGTGTGAGGGTGAGATATGGCCTTGAACGTTCATTTGAGGATAATTACTCTCAAGGTTGAGCTGATCTCCAAACACACATTTACAGTGGTTCATCAGAGGCATTTCTCCACCTGTCTTTCGTCTCTGTCACAGTTAGACGCTGTCTGAGTGTTTTTTCCCTCAGTTTGATCATCTGTAGTCCTCCCTCTCCTTCTCTTTTTCTCTACTTCTTGTCCTGCTCTCAGGGGATGGAGAAATACACCTCTTTATCTGTCCTTTCAATGTGTGACAGAGGAATTATTCATTCTGAACCTCAGAGTGAGAGTTGGGAAAACATGCAGAAGGAGTGTGATAAAGAGAGATACTGCTTGTATGCTATATTGCAGTGTGCAGTATGTATACTGTGAATTTTCTGTGTAAGGAATACCCAGATGGTGCGTGAGGAATCTGCAGCATTTTCTGTGCTGATTTTGACAGAAAAGCTGTGGAATTCTGCAAAATAGACTTAAATTCTGAGAAAATTCTGTCTTTATTCATCCAACCTCATGACATTTCAAACATGTATGACTTGTTCTGTGAAGGATAAAATATGAGTTATAATAGTGGATCTTTTGCATGCAATTAGACCCCAACTGTGACTAAAGTGCTTAAAAAAAATCACATGATGACACCATAAAAGTGGCTATAATCCACGTTTATGGAAATCATACAAAGAGAAAGAAACAGGCTAAAATTTAATTTTGTGATCAACTTTTATGATATGTTTTAAGATGTTTATACTGTATATAGTTTGTTATTTTGATCAATGTTAAAAATACTGCACTTTTAATTAGCTACTTTTCATTAGCAGATTGTAGTCTAACTATATACTTCGTAAAAAGAGTAACATGAATGTTGTTTAATAACTTTAAATATTAAAATTAATACAATGCAGTCCATCTAATTAAGATTATCATCTTTGTGCAAGTTAAATATTAATTTACATTTTTTTGCAGATTTTTAGAGAAGATTTAAGATTAAATTTAAGTTGAAATAAAGCCATTGTAAGATGGTTTGAATATAGTTTTATTAGTTTTTTATATATTAAGAATAATAGCGTAACTAACTTCTAGTTTAACTGTTAAATTAATATTATGCTTGCATATAAATTAATATTTATATGCTTATAGTAAGCTAGTACTCCATTCAGAAGAGAAGGTAAGATGAAACAGAAAGACTGACAGCAACTCATTTGCACTTATATTGGCACTGAAACTGTTTGAGCTCAACACATGACAGCAGCTCTGCCTTCAACATCCGCAGTTCATGTGTGCACTTGCTGTTACATGAACATGTGTTCACAAATGATATTGTGTCAATTAACTTGTTCAACATTTTAGGTCAAAATGCATATGAATGTATAGGTAAAAGTGAACATTATAGGTCATTTACCTTTTAAATGAATGTTTTAAAGTACCTCATACCTCAATTAATACAATCTTATAAAAGCTGCATGTATAATAGTGTGTGGTTGAACTCACAGGCATGGTCTGACTCCCGTGCAGCCCGCTGATGGCAGATTGAGCCTCGGTGTGTGTTGAAAACTTTACAAAGGCGCAACCTGCAAAACACACACACACACACACAAAAGAAGAGCAGAGAAATAATGAGGGTAAAGTTGCTTTGCAACGATTTGTATCGTGAAAAGCGCTATACAAATAAACTTGAATTGAATTGAATTTTAGTGTAATAAACAAATGTCCACCTTCAGCTCGTGCAGTCAAATCTTTATAAAGTAAACATAAGAAAAAGATGAACACTGGACTGAAGCAACTTAAATTTACTTGATTGTCAATACATTATTGTTTAAAAAAATCACGAGTCTCAAAAATGATCATCAGGCTTTTGACGAGCGTTAAATTGTTCATCTCTCAATCATCATTGTATTGCATTGCATTATATGTTTTGATCATAAAACTAAATATTTACATTTACATTACATACGTCTCTGTCAGGGCCATAAGGTTTAGTCTTGAATGATAGAAATAGATGTAATGAAATCTGCTTTGTTTACTGCAGACTGACAATTCCAGAGACCAATAGAAAAAGAAAGTAGTGTATTAGCAGACATAGGCAAAGTGCGCAGGTTGTTAGGATTGCGCTGCCTACAGTGTGTGATGCGTGGTTTGAGAGTGGTAGTAATAGCAGGGATATGGAAACACAAAGTAAGAGTTGGTAATAAAAACTGAAACAGAAGTGAAGCAAGGTGTAGAAAAGAGGACGAATCAAAAGCGATACTTATGTCCCTTGCTGGTGTCCCTGCTCGGTGGAGTGCGAACTTTAGAGTCAATGGTCTTTACACTCTTCAGCCTTCACACGAGGGCTGCCGCGGCATTCTAACCTTTTTTATACCCGTTTGACAAAATGGAAGTTGAATTCAGCTGAACACACTTTACTGTTTATCACAACTAGGCATGGGCCGGTATGAGATTTTGACGGTATGATAACCTTAAGCAAAAATATCACGGTATCACGGTATTGTCGTTACAGCTCTAAAATGTGTTATTTTTAAATGACTGGGTAAAAAAATATAAACTTTTATTCCGCTGAACACAATATATTTTGTTTTTGAGCAACATACAGAATATTAGGAACAGTAGAATTTATTTTTTCTTTGATTTGTTTCCTAAAAAGAAGAAAAATAAAGACTGACATCTTTATTTAACCTAAATCTGTAATTACAGTTATTTAATTTTAGTTATATAATTCATATACATATCATTTCATATCATTTAGTTATATAATTTCATATTGAACGAAGCAAACAGCAGAAGCTCTGAATGAGATGCAGATTCACTCTCTGACAGCAGGTGGCGCTTCTGGAACACCAGATACAGTGTTTCCTTGGTTACCGCTGTAAACAAATCAGCACTGTGCTGAAACACTGCTTTAATATGAACTATACAGACTGAGATGAGATTAAAAGAAAATACCACGTAAACGTTTCTGAAGACAGTCAGTTCCCCTCAGAAACACATTCATATAAACCCCCAAATCAATATTTAGGATTTTCTTCCAATAGTTCGTGCATCATTAAGAGTGAGTGATCTGCCTGCTACAGTATTTTTCTCTGCGTCCATCTTCAGCGTCTCTGGCCTCTGTTAACGGGCGTTTACAGACTTCATATTTTCACATAAATGACATTTTGGAAAACGGTTGCATTGCAACGCAGTTTGTGCAAGTCCAGAACAGAGACGAGTTGCTTGCAATAAGACAAAAAACGGCCGGTTGCCGATCGCGTAAG